AGAAAGGGTTTTACTCGGCCTGAAAAGCCAGCGAGGAACGCACTACCCTATGGGAGAGAAAGTTGGCCACTTCGATCTGAGGCGCCTTCAATTCTTTGAGCATCGTTGTTTAGGAAGCATTGCTAATGTCAGGTGGTACCAGTGTGTCCGCAACGATGATGGATTTGGCGATAACCAACGTAGTTCCTCAGAAAAACATATGGTACTGAATAAGCTGCGTTGGCTTGGGCACGTACTACGTATACCTAGTCATCGCTTCCCGAGGATGGCCATACATTGTATGCCAGATGCTTAAAGTGTGTTTGGTGCTAGTTATTTGCGGGGTAATGGCTGATTATGACGCGCAGCAGTGAAGGCTGCAAGGAAATTGTCTCGCCGATGCTGCCTTATCTTTGCACGATAACCAGCTGTTTGTGACGGAATGTCGTTGATCCCGAATGTTTGTTTAGGGCATTAAGGTTTTGCGTTAAGTCCCCTTTCTCTTCCCCTGGTATTCTTCCTTCTGATGATCCATGTGATTGTACGGTAACGAAGTGTCAGTGCAAATGGCTGATGTAGTGCAGCTGCCATTTTTTGGGTTATTTGCGAACTCAATGAATTAACGTGAACATTGTCACCCAGTGCTAGTGTGTACACCCAATCGCTGAGATAGCACTGATGAAATTCGTCTGAGGGTAACATAGGTCGAAGCACTTGAAATAACCAAGAATTCTTACTAGCACAGTGGATAATGGACCACAATGCGATTCTGTATACATGGTCCTTAAGACTGTGAAAAAGACATCCCGACGTCAGAAGTGTCGCAGTTTCATGGAAGCAGCCCAAGCCCCTGTAATATACCAGGCTCTCTCCTTGGCCTAATATATATATAAAGTATGGCACTTGCCCAATAAACATTTGGCAGTGTCACAACACATGAGTAAAAACAACAAAAGAGGGGGAGAGTCAGGATTGTGGATGCAAAGATCCATGTGTTGTGTCGGCAGAGAGGTTCCCAGTTGCCCAGGCCGAGGAAGAGAGTTGACTTAAGGGACCCCACTCCGAGCCTTTGATCTTAAAGGCCTGGATCGCAAGGCAGCGCGATGAATACGAAGACCGTTGACAGCCAGGCGGCTCATTCGCCTTTTTTAAGTTTGGCTGCAGTCCACACCGAAGCCGGTGGCCGGCAAGGTTGTTTATCCGTCCTCCGTTAGATACTCACCTCCAGTTACAGAGGTGAGTGGTCAGTGACCACATAGGCGGTCACATTGGCTTTGACGCAGCGCCGTACGAGCACTTCTGGTATTTAATGGAGAACCAGGTGATCAGCCCAGAACTCCCTAGGTTCTGAGACGTTGCCGCTGATTGTTCGCGACTGCTTTCTAATCTCCCTTGCAAAGCGGACGAGACTTATTCGCAGTTACCTCCACAAGGAAGGCATTCCCCAATCCGCAACCTGGGGATGCGCCCGATAGCGTACAGCTTAGCCTAATGCGACAAATTGTAAACAGTACGCAGTGTCATAGAGATTTCAGTGAAATGTAAAGAAACAAAGACAGCGTACGTTACTACCTGAAGGAGATATGAGTCACATTCGCCGTTGGATGCGAGAACACGTTGAGGTCAGAGTCGGTGTTACTGCAGGCAAGCTATGACTTGGATATTTCGAGGTGCATTATGCGTCAAGTTAACGGAAAATACCATTTTATGTGCGGGAAAGCAACAAGGCTTGTAATTTAAAACATCAAAGCCACTTCCGTTGACATCGTATATACACAAGGAAAAATATGGAAAAGCAGATGTTAGATTTGCAATGATTTGAAAAAGAGAGTCAGAGATCACCACAGGTGCAATAAAAGCGGATGCACACACACACACAGCCCATACGTACCACATCCGACGGGAAACTGAGGGTGGTCAGTAGACGACTGAAGATATTCCAGACTTTTGGATCATCGGCCGCGAGATGTTGTGAAAGTGAAGCGGTTAAAATAAGGACAGATTGTCGAACCGCATCCAACTCTGCCACATTAGGTGCTTTATTCAAAAACAACTCCAAGATGGGAAGAAGCTGTCCAAAATGGGACTACAATGGAAAGAAAGGTGAAGTCTAGGGATGAAGACCGGGGAATGTGTTAAAAAGGTGAGCTGCTTAATTACAACAAGTAGTACTATACATGTCTGGGACCTGACGCAAAGTAAGTGGAGTCGGCATCCTACGAAGCGACACAAAACACATCGCTTTGGTTTTTGAGTACGCACCGTGTGTTTTGGATTGGGATATGTAATCGCACTTGAGGCCACAGTTTACTTCAAAATAAACCTCAATGATTTCGATCACTGGGAAGGCATATGAAGAGAAGAGTATTGGAGCAACGTTCTCCCAACACTGCACTCTGTGATGGCTTTCGCCCTCGTTTCGAAGTATCAGATAGAGAGAGCCTGAGCTGGGATTGGGAACTCGGGGCCTAGTAGTTATGTGGTGACGCCTTGATCACTAGACCATTTTGCTACGCGAGTGGCGCTTGACATAGCAGTTAGAAATAAAACTGTTCGGTCTTGAGCCTCCCTGTTTGTGACTGAATCGCAATAAATAGCCTTAATAGAGGTCATGGCCTAACAGGAAGTAAACACGGGTCAATACGATCACTGAGACAGTGACAAACGTGTCATGTAGGTTACAAACCAGACGAGTTAACCATTGCGTTGCCAACTTCAGTTAAGCCTAATCGTCGGTGGGATAAAATAGACTAATCAGTAGTCCATTGTAAATACGAGAGTTGCAAAAATCGGGGAAGTGAGGTCAGCGATGGATTCAGTTAGGCGGAGCAGACCAACGCCAGTGCAAATGTAGCGCTTCGCAGATCACAACAAAAAATCGACGATTAAAGTGGAGCAGTAGGCAAACAGTATGACCGTAGGAGGCAATAAACAACACCCTAAGGAGTAGACGTGGAGCCATCAGGAAGTAAGCAACGGAGATAGCAGCATTCGGCCCCACAAGACTACAAAATAGATGCGGGCCGTGTGGATCCCGCGACGGTACTCACACCGACTCCCACACGTCCAAGTTAATCAGTAGTCGGAAATTTGGGAAAAGCTCGATTTTGAAAAGGTGGACTGAAAGACATGCACCAAAGAGATCGGATTCAAACGGCGAGGATGAAAATCGCTCACTTTGCCACAAATCGCGACAGCGCGGAGACCGGTCTGTAAGAGTCGAGATCGCACCGCAGCATTTCGATCATTCAGTCCATCAGGAACCAAAAATCGAAACATGTCGATTATCCAGGTGTCGGCGGCACTAGCGGGCCTATCCGGTCCGGTGTCAGTCAAACAGGTGTTACCGTCCTCCTGCTCATTTGGAATGTGTTCCGCATCATCGGCATCCGAGAGATATAGGCCTCTCCTGAGTTCGTGGTAGGCCGTATCACAGGGAGTCAGAACCTCGGGTAGACGTGAGAGAGCTAGGGCCAGTCCAAACCGCTCTCGCCACAGGTCTGGTGATTCAGGCACAAGAATGCGTCCAACGCTGTCAGTCACTGCAGGCTCGCGCTAACAACGAAAAAGTAAGGTGAAGTCAACATTTGGTTGCGCAACTATTCGGATTGAAACTTTTAGTTACAAACACAAATTTGGACGAGCAGAAAGGATAACGAGAAAAGGCAACTTGCGCTAAGACTCAACACAGACTAAAGCCATGATACAAAGGACACAAACAGATGCGTGGATGCTCGGAATAAGTTAGTTAATCTAGGTGGGTGAGTGCAATGGCGAAAAAAAGAGAAAAATCTGGCCCGCATCGGTGAGAAGAGACAAACTCACACAGTATGGAACGAGATGAAGCTATGTGCAATGTTGAGAGGTCCCGCAAGGACTAAACTGGGCACAGGAACGGTTTCCTCTACGGGGCATGCAGGAGATTCCAATAACGGAACAAGCAGAACTGTTTTTATATGGAAATTCAGCGTCACAGATTCAAGCAAGTTCTCAATGTTTGGTTACTAACCCTCTTTGTGTGTCTTAGGTAATTACAAACTCAATTAGCGTACACGTTGCCTCAAAGTCGTAATTTCACCTTCAGTCTGCCGATGAAACGTGTCAGCTGTAGGCCGTAACGGTGCTTCGCTGCCGCGCGTTCACCACCAGTTGCGCGCGGGCTGAGTATACCGCGAGGACGACCGCCTCAACGCAGACTCGAACCGGTGATCGTATGGTTGCAAACCAGGCGCGCAGACCACTCGGCGACTGGCCGATAAGTCCAAACTTATGTGTTGGTGTTTTAACGAATGCTTGCACGTTGCAAAGGCGGTCCTTAATTCTATATTGCAAGTTATCATGCTGAGGCGGGGCCTTTAAAACGTCCGAGTCATTTTCACTGAACACTGCTTTTACAACATAGCTATGGATATAGCAGTTTTTTCGGAAAATACTTCAACAATAATCTTTGTCAAACTATTTTCAAGGTCAACAGTGCTATCTTTCGCCGACAGTTTGAGAAAAACTCAAAATACTGCGCACTTGAAGGTGGGCTGGCTCGATTCATAGCTGCCGTAACCGGGAAGTCCTGACGCCGGAAGGCCGACCGCTGTCATCTGCATGGCAGGTGCCTGCATGGCAGTGGAGGATGCGTCGGGCTATATCGCATTTAGCTAACAATTCACGATGGTCAGATACCGTCCTCCATGGCGCAGTTGCATAAGCTGCGGCCTAGTTGGCAAGAGCCACTAGCAGTCATGGGTTCGGTCCTCCGCAAAGGACCGAAGGATGCGCACCACTGATGAGCCCCAATAGGGGAAATGGCCGTCTGGTGCTTTTCCGGATAGCTGGTCGACATATCTGAATTGTCGGCTGATTGCGACGAACAAAAATATCTCACTTGTAACCTTAGCCTGTCAACAGAATGCAGCTTTAGATTATTCTATCCGGAAATGTTTAATTGTGGCTCGTTTACACTGATCGTTTGCTCAACTGACACCTGTACACAGTGTCCTTTCTTCCATCAATACAAATTTAGAATGCTGACAATGTAATTTTAGCCCGCCGGTAATCGATATTGTAAAATGATGAAAATGTATCCACCTGGATACAAAGCTCATTTTGAGTCAAGTTGATTTTTTCGTAGCCACCGTTACAGGAATAATTGATAATTATTTAAAATGTCAAATCGGTTTCTACCCAAAGCGTGTTTTAGTGGCTAGGATTTGTGGCACAAGCGATGTAGCCAAAATTCGCTTGATTCCATCACCGTAGCATAACAATTGCCGTTTTCACTAACAGAGTCAGTAGAACAAAAACGATGCGCTTTTGCAAAATAAACGGAAAACAAGTTTTTGGGTAGAAGAGGAAGAGCCATGGCTGAAGACAGATCTACAAAAAGTCTGTAGAATCCAAAGGAAAGCATCCGCTGAGAACCAAAAACAGAAAGGGGAGAAACCACCCGATTCAAGGACGGTTAGCGCATCCGAATAGAATTGCCTTGATGCGCGAGACTATGATAATGAAATAGACCTGGTGGCATAGCACGGAATCCTCCTGTACCACCTGCTTAAGACAAGCGAGGTAATTAGAAAAATGGACCCTATCTCCGTTACTAAGTAATGAAGGTATAAGTAACTCAAAAGCAAGACAGAAGGTCAGGATGAAAGGCTGATAGGAATACAAGACAACAAACAAGCGGCCTCCGTTTGGCTCAGTGAACAGAGATTTGGACTAAGAATGAGGTTGTAGCTAGTGAATGTAGCGGCAAACGTATACACGGTGGAGTAAACAGCTATAGTCACGCGAAAAAACCCGTAGAGATCGTTAGTAAAGTAGATTCCGTCAGTCCATCTCATCAACGAAATGGAGCAAGTTGTGTGGGAAAAGAGGTGGCACAGCGTGACCACGCAGCATGCACGGTTGTGTAGGTTTCCTTGTCAAAAAAACGCTGCAATGTAATTGGTGGGGACTGCAGCTGGTGGCGTCCTAATAACAGTGGCAATGTAACCAACGGGATTCAAGATCCTCTGGGCGGGCTGCGAAAATAGTACTCCTATAACATGACGGTAGGACTACATAACCGCAAAATGTGATGACTGGTCGAGGATAGTCAGAAGTAGTCGGCTGCCAATGGGAGAGGAAATCGGTAAGGAACAAATTGGTGAAAAGCTAGAGGACCGATTAAAAAATCATTCTCATCATAAGTACACATTAGCTGAAGGTGAGAAACGCAAGCCAGCTAAAAGCGCCGGGATACGCAGGATATATGAAGAATGAGATACTAAACATTACGGAATGCAAAAACGAAAAAGTAAGTATAATAGTGCTAAGTGCCATGTTACCTATGCAGTACGAGATTGTTGTTGGACGATATAAGCGGGAAGGGAAGGTATAAAGGAACCCAAAAAACAAAAACGTCAATGAGGTCGGCTGTTCAAGGTCTGAGAAATAGCACTCAAACCCCTATCCACCGTATTCGACGTAGTCGGTAGGGCGCCATTAAGTATGCTTTGTGACGGCCATAGCATCGGGCAGTTGTTTGAAGAGAAATTCATTGTACTGTGTGGCAGAATACTGTTAGATTTCCCAAATCTAGACAGGAGAACGATTAGGTTACTCAACCAAAGCCCTTGATTCCAAAAAAAACCTGACCGCAAGACAGCGGGGTTTTGTCACTGAGCAACGGAGAGTCCGTTTTAAGTTGAAAGTAGCCACCCTCATTCCAACCCCCAACCTAAAGGGTCAGGAGAAAGAACTTTTCTGGCACCTAAGCGCTAACCAATCTGGTATGAGTGACTCTGAAAGTGCAAAAAGCACTACCTAGCATAGCGTAATGGAGTGCTGAGGCACGCGTAAGGCGTTTGACAGAGTGAACCACGAGGTACTCCTTGGTAAACTGAGGACATACGGAATCGGTGGCACGTTACTTCAGTGGATACAAGAGTTTATTGTGGGATGAAGGTTTAGAGTACAGGTCAATGACTATCTGACAGAATGGTTCCCATCGACCAGTGGCGTGCCTCAAGGAACTGTACTTGGGCCAGCATTATTTCTTATTCATATCAACGATCTTCCGCAGCAGCTCCAGTCACCATGTGTCCTGTTTGCAGATGATTTGAAAATCTGGAGGATCATTGAAAACCAGGACGACTGCGCTCGCCTCCAGCATGACTTAGAGCGACTGTCAACGTGGTCCACTGAAATGCAACTCCCTCTTAACGCAAGCAAGTCGGAGTTCATCAGTATCACCAGACGTCCAGCCACTCGATCATACACCTTGGGCGGCCAGTTGCTCCATCCCAACACATCTGTCAGAGACTTAGGAGTTCTCTCACGACACGATATGAGATCACTAGGAAATACAGAGAAACTGTACCGTGCGGGACTTCGTATGCTCTGGGCTTTACGACGCAGTTTCTCCACATGGTCCGAAGAAACCGTCCCTCGTCTATTCACCTCGCTCATTAGACCAATCCTTGAATACGGTGCCCCAGCTTACCATCCGATAACCCAATGGGAAACTGAAAAACTGGAGAAAATACAGCATATCGCAACTAGAATGATACCAAGTCTACGAAAGCTTCCATATGAAAAACGTTGTGAAAAGCTCGGACTCTACACACTATCCTATCGCCGAGTAAGAATTGATCTTATTATGACCCATCGAGTACTACACTTGAATCACTTCCCCATATTGCGGCCAATATTTCACCTGCGAGAACCCTGTAACACCCGAGGACATCGTTACAAACTCAGGGTCCCCTGCATGAACAAAGTATCACATCAGCTTTGTATCGAA